AACAACCTAATTAAAGGATCTTAAATGTGAATATGAAACATAAAAAACAAATATTAAGTAGGAGAAGCTTAAGAAAAAAAGAATAAAGATAAATCATTTTCTTGTTTTAAGAAGAGGCCACATCATTGCATGTGGTTTCTTCTTTAATATATTTATAGATTATTATTTATTAATGTTTATCCAACTAGTTTACAATATTTGTGTATGGTTAATTTAACACGATATCCTTTATTTATTATTTATTTATGTTAATATTTAAATGTTCATCTTAATTATAATTCACAATCTTATAATTTAATTTTTAGAAGTTACACTTTCAACTCTCATAACTTTTGGTCTTTTGCCATTAATGTATTATAAGTTGGCTTCGTATGCCAAACTCGTATTTCTTTTGGTCTCTTGCCAAAAGCTCCAAAAATATCATTATGTTATTAAATTATCTGCATTTAATTTCATCTATTGGTCTCATGCCAAAGTCATTAATATTATTTATGCATTTTATAAATGATTAATTACAAGATATCGAAAGGATTTTGTCAAACATATGTAAATAGCCCTAAGGTTGTGGACTTGTGGTTCCCCTACTACCTGGAAATCCAATAGATTGAGTGATTTATTTTCTAAAAGTTGAAATACTAATAAAGTATTATCAACAAAAATCTACAAATGCAAAAATCAAATACTGTTATGATAATGGAATTTCATGGATAAAGTAATGAACTATAATTCATTATCTTAAAAAATCATATATTTTTCATATTATAACATATTGAACTAAGAAAAACTTGATAACCATAAAATATGTTCAGAAAAACAAAAGCAAATATGTAAAAACCATCAAACCTTATTGACCCTAAAAACCTACTATTAAGGTATAAGTAAATACTTTAAAAATTTTGAGAGACACATCAGTCACAACTTTCGAAGGGAATATCGTTTAATAGAAACCCCTAAGAATAATGGGGCTCCCCGAAAAGGAAAAGCGGGAATATTCATGTACTTCCAAAACTAATGATACAGTGGAATAAAACCCACTCGATTACAAGAAGATAACTGATTTTCAACAAAGATATGTTGTCTCAAAAAGCGTCTCAATCTTTGTGACAAGCGACTCACAAGATGGCATGATGTATAACATTATTTTCACCTTTTCATAAATCAGTAAATATTAATGAACTAATATGAACTTGAATATTAACCAGTATAACATTATCTACTAGGAATGTCAGAAAACTTTCCAACCTAATGGGGGATGGTTGGAAATGATAGTGAGGTTGGAAATTTATCCTCCATCTCACATTGGTAGATAGAAAAACATTAGAGAGCCTTATAAGGCTTTCCTTTCAGTTGGGTCTTGAACTTGTTGATGGACTCATGGTCTTGGGGCCGAGGCCAAGGGCGTGCGCGAGATTCGCGAAAGTGCCACATCGAAGCAAAATTAGCCTCGTCCCAAACTCCCGAGTATCTTTTTTATGCAAGTTATAGAGAAATAGATAGTTAATTTTCAGATTGGGTTTAAACAGATTAAAATCGGTTTTTAAATTGGTTTAAACAGATTAAAATAGGTTTTTAAATTGGTTTCAACACGTTTTTTAGAAGATAATTATTGTTGGAGGATTATCCTCAAACTAACCCAACGTGATCCCATTTTTGGGAGATAAAATCATGGGTTTAGGGGAGTTTAAACAATATAAATACTGGGTTAAAACCACCCCTAAAACACACTGAAAAAATTGGTTGCTTCCTTTTTCTCTCTCGAAACTCTGCTTCAATCAAGTTCTTCTACCAACATTCTGCGTCTGCTTTGCTTTTGAATTCATTATCAAAGTTGTTGATAAACGAAACACGTTATTGCATCAAATCATGGGGCTTTGCAACTAGTAGACTCACAACATACTAGAGTGGTCGTATAAAAACTTTAAGGACAAGTTTTACCTTGCAGATTTCGATTCAACATCAATTTAAACAGGTTGGTTTTAATTTTCGTGTATTGTATTTATCTGTTCACTAAGTGAACAACTCTGATTTTACTTCCTTATTTCATTGAATCTATCACGAATGATAGATTCAATCTATGTGATATTAATCGGTTTGGGGGTTTTTTTAGATTTCGAATATTAAAGTTACCGTCTTTTATAATAAATGTTTAATTTTTATAGTTTATTTATCTTTTAGATAAAAAAATTATTTATAAAGATTAAAACTTTATTATTTTATTTATTTAATATTGATTATTTTTTCAAGACTAGCTGCCTGTGGCTTCGTGGGGTTTTACCAGGCCCATTCTCTCAAGAAAGGATTTACAACACTTAAAGGTTTGTGTTTTTTTAATTAAAATGCTCCTTTTTATATGCATAATGATCAAAAAATGTAATAACCAGTAATAGCCACTAATTCATACATAAAAAGAGAGGAGCGATCAAATACAAATCATTCAATTTGTACAAACTGTTCATTTTTTTGTAATTATGAAAGGTTGATTAATCATTTTTATTGTAAAGGGTGTTAATCATGAATATTATCATCTTCATTATTTTAATTTTAGAGAAATACATGAAACAGTTTCATTAATTATTATATGAAACAATTTCATAACAATATATAAAATAACTTCATCGAAAAAGTATTATATGAAACAATTTCATGAAAAAATTTCATAAGGTTAAATAATTAAATCGATGGATGAAGGTGGTTTGCACGGTTTGCATTTGATCGCTTATCTCTCTCTCTCTCTCTCTCTCTCTATATATATATATATATATATATATATATATGCACAGATGAAAGTTACTTGATAAATGGGTTCTTAGAAACCATTATTGATTGATTAGGTTCCGGCCTGAATGGTATCGTTAAGAGTTAAACAAATAATCCTTAACTTGTTATAATAAATTGTTTGAATTTAACTTTATTTAACCAAATAATAAATTATCATATCTAAAAGTGTTACAATAAGTTTATCTGATGATTTTGGACGTTAATAAGTTTTCAGTACTCTTGAAATAAAGTATCCTATTAATTTTTTATGACATTATTTGAGAAAAAAAAAATTATAAAAACAAACACTACAAAACAAAAGAATTTTATCCACAAAAACCATCCAGAGAAATTTCCGTTACCAATATTATAACATTTAGGGGCCGTTTACTAAACGCTTACTCGGGTAAGTGTTTATCCAGTCATATTAGCTCATCGGATGAATATGGTAAGGACAAAGAATCTTACCCGGTAAGAGCGAGACAAGGACCAAGAGTCTTACCTAGTAAGCAGGGACGGACCCAGAATTTTTTTTAAACGGTAGCACCATTTGACCATAAGAAAAAAAAATATAGGAAATTTTTTTCAAACGGTAACACCGTTTGACTATAATAAACAAATATACGGAATTTTTTTCAAACGGTGGCACCGTTTGACTAAGAAAATGACACTAACATGATTCGGACTTGGGTGTGGGGTAGAATAAAAGCCTTGAAAACCAACTCTACCAAATAAAACTTGTTCTCATTGTAGTTTCAAAATACATATGGTGGCACACAACAAATTAATACGGTTGCACCGTACACGAAACCTAAATTTTTTTACCCTTCGGCGGAGAAACGATACGGTGGCACGTGCCACCCATGGCACCTATGTAGGTCCGCCCATGCTAGTAAGTGAGGGCGACGACTCTTACCATGGTAAGCACTTACCAGGTAAATTGTTGCATGCGATCTCGTTTTTGTGAACTAAAATCTTACCCGATAAGTATATAATAGTGTTAAATTTTATTGGTAAACACTTACCAGGTAGGTATTTAGTAAACAGCCCCTTAGACATTTTTTATATCCTATAAACCCGATTTTATTGTAATGTTAATTTTAGCATGATTAGCAATTATGTATAGATGAAGAAAATGTTATTGTTACCACTAAAAATGTGTTAAAACACCTAAAATATCTTATAAACTTATCATAACATCTTTACGGATCCAACCTTAAAATACCCATATGTAAGCATGTAAAATACATATATACATGCTACATGTACATGCATACATCATATACATAAAAAAAATATTATAAAGAATTTCCTTTTTTTATGTAAACAATATTATACCTACTCCAATAAAAATAAGTTCAAGCCGCCACACCTTACAGCTAAGCCATTAATAATTGCAAGTTGATCATACTATTTAAGGATAGTTTGAAATTGCTTATTTGAAATAATTTATGTTTTTTTTAAAAATTGTTTATCAATTTATTATAAGTTAGAATAGTTTAATTTCTTCAAAAAACTCCTTGACACCAGTATAAGTTATTTATCCAAACACTCAAAACTATTTATTACCATATCACACCGCAATAAGTCGATAAGTTGTTTTTATAAATAATCTCAAACACCCCCTTAGTTTACCATATTATTGAATTCATTGCAATCAATGCCAAATCAATTACTTAAATAATTCATAACCCAAGTGGTTAAAAACACAAATAGGATTGATGGGTATATTTCAAATGCAACCATAACTAATACAATCCAATCAATTAAAATATTTATAAAAATAATGAGAGTTCATTTATTATGATTTGAATATTTATGGAATATGACTTTATTAATTATGATCAATACTTTATATAATTAGGAAATAATCAAAACTTTTATGAAATCACATATTAATCAAATTAAATAGACGGTTGAAATTGAGTTGTATTAGTTGTAAAAATGGAAAGATTTATATAATAACACACTTTTAGGGTTAATAGATAAACCATATATTAAAAAAGGTATTTTTATTTCTTTATTCATGTATATAAAAGTAATTAAATTGTAATTTAAACTAATTAAATAACTAAAACGAATTAGATCGGGATCGAAAAGAAATTAATGGCGATCGATCGTCCGTTAGCAGATTCGTGAAAGTGATCGGAATTTTCTTGTAAGAACCCTAAAAAACATTGAATTGGAATATCAAATTTAGACGTTAATTTTTTGGGTTCCTTAGTAAGAAGAATAAAGATCCATCAATGGCTGACAGGGTATCCAATTCCATGTCTTTTGGAAGGGAAGATCACAAACACCAAACTGCAAACAAGACTAAGTCCCAATGGAACAATATTCAGAACCTCTTCAGCTTCATGGCTTGGCCGTGGATAAAAGCAGCTCACCACGCTCCGATCTCTCATGGCCACCGTCACCAACACAAATGCCGACACAAAAGCATGAATCCAATCAACCGCCGTCAACCTGTACTTTCTCAGGTCCGGCAAACCGGACGCAGAAGCTTCTGCCGCCTGGGAATCGAACACCCACATGCCTTTCGACGTTGCAAACCCGTAGAAGATCCGGCCGTCGGATGACTTGAAGCTGTCGGTGAAGCTCGCCAGAAAGCAAGCGACGGTGAGGAAACCGATGAGGATGGCGGTGAGTGGACGCGTGACGGTGTCGCAGGAACCGTGGTTGGTGAAGATGGGTGCCACGGTTTGGAGGGCTAAGAGGGTGCCGGTGGGTAGGAGATTTGCTAGTTGCGCTGTACTAGCTAGGGTTTGTGATATAGCCCATTGTGACATAGTGGGTGGTGGTGGCGGTGGTTTAGGGCTGTCCACAACCTCCACCTCCGCCTCATCATCGGAGGATGCAGCTGTCACCGGTCTAGCTCTAAGAGACGTCGACATATATATAGTGTGTGTGTGTGTGTTTTTTTGTGTAGTAATTATGGATTGAAATGGTGGGTACGTGGTGGTGGTGTGTTTATAAGAGATGCAGAAGACTTAGAGATAGAGATGGAGAAGGTGGTTAGGTGGTTTCGTAGCACCATCTTTTGGAAGACTTCAAGGTTCAATTTCTTGAAAGAAAGCACTCGTTTTCGCTTTGTTTATTATGAAATGATATTCTCGTTTTCATTTGATTTGGTCAACGTTGTTTAATTAAGGTGATGCCTTATCTTATGGTCGTATAACGTTTTCTATAAGGTTAGGTAACGTATTGTAACGACTACACCACTTTTGTGGTTGTCTAAAAGCAAAATAACTACGTAAAGAAACAGTCTACCGATGAACGTTTGGTTTTCAATTTAATGAAAAATATTCTTTTAAGAATGTTGGGTGACTTAGGGGCCATTTACCAAACACTTACCCGGTAATTGTTTACTGGTAAAATTTAACACTACCACTTACTTACCGGGTAATAATTTAGTCCATCAAAACGGTATCGTATGTAACAATTTACTCTGTAAGCGTTGACCATAATAAGAGTCGTCGCTCTCACTTACCGGGTAATACTCTTGGTCCTTGTCTCCTTACGGGGTAAAATTTTTGGTCCTTACCATATTCATCATGTAAGGTAATGTGACTTGTAAAGCATTTATCCGAATAAAAAACAACTTCTTATTGTTAATTGATGGTTGTGGTATTATATGTTGTGCTTATCAAATAAGGTTGCGGGTTTTATTTAAGATAAAGAGAAATGTGTGAATTTACCGATAAGCATCTCAGGAATCAATTTAGGATGGATAACAAATAAGAACAAGATAATAAGCAAAAGCAAAGATGAACAAACCCATTGATTCTGAGGGGGTGTTTGGGATTGCTTATTTAAAGCAATTTATGATTTTCTACAAAAATATTTATCAACTTATTATAAGTTAGAATGATTTGACTTTTTTAAAAACTCAGTATAGGTTTGGCACCGGTATAAGCTGTTTATCCAAACACTCAAAAGTGTTTATAACCGGTCACACACGGAATAAGTCAATAAGTTATTTTTATAAGCAATCTCAAACACCCCTTGAAACAAATCGAATCCTAAAACAAAGGTTATTGAGCTTGACGCTTGATACGGCCGTGTCGCATGTGTAATGTGAATCATTACAATATCTTTTCATGTGGTTTAGTGTTCATAAGTTCTACATATGAAACAATACTATACTCTTTCTCATAATAAAACTCAATACTTAAAACAACACCTTGCGGCGACGGGGGAGACCTAATTTCCATGGTTAGTGGCGGAACACAAAAGTAGGCCATCATTCCATATTATAGAGCTCATCCTGAGGATCAATGGCCCAATAGGAATATATAATTATCCATGATTCATGGATCAAGGCCCTCCCTCCCGATGATCCCACGTACACTCATTCATTAAAAAATACATCATGTGGCCAATGGCTAGTATCCGGCTCCAATAAGACCGTACCAAGTTGTCCGCGATAACCGATGCCTATTTCTAGTTATAGTACAGGGATAATTATCCCATAAAACTAACTCATAAATTATATCATGCGGCTAATAGCAAGAGTTCAATCAACATGTGTTTTATAGTTCAAAGCCTTCGATAACACAATGTTTATTTCTGGTCACAATGGGGGAACGATCGTCCCATTTTAAATCAATAAAGACTGACTCCTATGACTATGGATTCATTGCATTCTAGCCATAGAATTACGCTACTCTAACTGAATGACTAACGCACGTTCAAAATTGGACGCGTGTTTCCAAGGCTCATTAAAGTCAAAACTGAGCCAAAAGATCAACAACCCAATGGACCTTTTCATAAAAGTCATTGAAAGCAATAAAACGTATTTAATCGACGTTTATGCAAATACATGTTCCAAATACATGATTAACTCAAAAACACGTCATTAATTGAAACAAATCATTTTCCAGGTAAAACCGTACCGTTTATGTTTTCAAATATTCCATAACACAAACTATGCATTTTCCAACCAAATACACTAAAATGTATTGATCACCAAATAATCTCCATGTAAGAGTTAAAACATTAAAAGAACTCACACTTATGATTTATTCATCAAAATGTCCAAAAAAACCAAATGTAAACATTTTACATGATTTATAAAACCAAATATACAAACTTCGTCAAATACTCAATACATTTGATAAACATCAAGTAAAACACTTTAATACTTTAAAATACTCATTTTGGCATGTACCTAGATTCCAAACCCAACTCTTTAACTTCCAAAAGACGAAGATATGAGATCTTCAAGCAAAACCCACTAGGAAAATTTCTTCAAGACTATTAACCTAGCCAAAGAAGTACCAATCATTAATTCAAAATTCAAAACCATCAAACACCCAAATGTAGATCTCAAAACACCTAAGAAGTTTACCTCATCGATCTTGTAACTTCTCATCAAAGATCTTCAATCTCCAAGATTCTTCTCACCATTTGCCCCCAAAAATCTCCCAATGATCGTCCCCAATGCTCCCAAAATCGCCCACAACATAGAGGATATCAAGAAAGGGGAAGAAAAATGGAGAAAAACCCTAAAAATCGGGCTTAAAAGATGTTCCAGGGGCTTCCCGCGGCTTTTCTCGCGACTTAAGCCACATGGTAAGTCGCCCATGTGTCTAAAGCTAAAATGCTGAAACAGTGAGTCATGTGGCTTTTCNGGCTTTTCTCGCGACTTAAGCCACATGGTAAGTCGCCCATGTGTCTAAAGCTAAAATGCTGAAACAGTGAGTCATGTGGCTTTTCCCGCAACCTAGGTAGCGGGATTTTCTATTTCGCTCCCGGTGCAATTTTTCTCCACCAGAACTCGTCCATACCATAAGCTCTTAAAACCCAATGCATTCCAATCAAGGGATGACTTCTAAAGGCTCGTTACAATACATAAATCTTAAAGGTATGTCCAAAATCACGGGTGTCAGAATCCTTAAAATAAAGAAATTTAGTTCAATGTAACTTTTTTTTTTAAGATTTTAAGTTTTTTATTGGTTATTATTTTGAAGAAATGACATCTATAAAATATATCGTTTGTAATATATACAATAACAACTTGTAATCTCATAATTACAACATCAGTTAGATGATTTATAAGAAGTAAACTAAAGGGGGTTATTTTGGGCATTGGGGGCCTAAATCCTAATCTATTGTTGTGTATGGATCTACTTGTATCACACATTTTTAACCTGCTTTTGCTCAATACATCATTTTTTTTTAACATATCCAACCTGCTATACGAGCCGACTAATCCCAGGGCGACCACCTGTTTTGCAGATAACCTGTAGTCACTGCATTTGAACCTCCATGACCACAAGGGGATTTTTATTCCTCCTTGGATTTTTTATTCCTCCTTTGATTTGAACCTAAGACCTCCATGTAGTTTTGACCTTTGGAGCCAAGCTCAAACCAATCAGACACCACACTTGTGGTTCAATACATCATGTTTGTTTATTGACATCATAAACAAATATCTAACAATTAGAAAAACATGAATTTACAGATGGCTGGTGGTGGTCCGATCACTTGATCCGAATCCTTAAACTGTTGCGATTATGTGGAGTTGAAATCTAAAAGAGAATCAACCAAAAAACCCAGCTAATGAGTATCTCAAGGTATACTCTTAACAGATTGTTGACTCAAAGGTGTATAAATTGTACAACAAAAACCATAAAATTAAACAGCTTCATAGAGCTCTTTGTTTGAAAAGCAGCATAAATTAATTCACTAAAACAAAGTTATAAGTGAATCAGAATCCAACTGTCCACATACAAACTGCATAACAGATTTCAGTCACACACGTATAATCTCGTTACAAAATCGAACCTAGTACACCCAACCAAGACTAATTCATCAAGAGTCGTCATTGTTGTTGTGGGGATGGTGGCGGTGGCCCTGCTGCTGCTGCTGGTGGTGGTGCTTTCTGCTGATATGCTTGTTCACCACTTGGTCCTGGTGGTGGCATTGCGGATGGATGAGACTGTGGAGGGTATTGTTGATATGGTTGAGTCGGTGGCGGCGGAGCATACCCATATGGGGCTGGTGGATAATACTGCTGATAGTATTGGCCACCGCCTTGAGGCGGTGGTGGTGGTGGTGGGTATGCAGCATAATGTGGACCACCTTGCTGCCGCTGATCTGAACTGCCAGCGCCACTTCTATTCTCACCTAAACCACTAGCCCCACTCCCATCTTGAGAAGGTATCACTGCACCCATCCTCTGAGGATCCATAGAGGGATAAAAGGCTCTGCCATGCTGAGGCGGTGGTGGCGGAATGTTAAAATAATGCATCTGTGGCGGTGGTTGCTGATCCTGACCAGCGGAAGTTCCTGGGGGCTGAATCATTTGGTTTTGCTGCTGCGATATAACAGCCCTGGGTAATAATCCACTGTGGGCAATTGATTGTTGTCTGGCTTCATCTGAGACTACTTCACCCTCAGCCTTAGGTGCTTGTGGTCGACCCCACATAAGTTTTAGGCGAAGCCCTTTAACAACCAGCTTGTTTGAGAGTTCATCAGCTGCTTTTTCTGCCCCTTCTCGAGTCGTGTAAGTAACAAAGGCACAAGCACGTTGGAGAACCATCTTGACGGACTCAATTTCACCATGAGCATAGAAATTGTCCCTAAGGTCTTGCTCTGAGACTCTGGCATCAAGCCCTCCCACATATAGGGTTCGAATGCTCTCGTCCTCTGGGGGTTCGAGAGATGGCATGTCACCCGCCTTGTTCAGTAGTTTCAATGCAACTGGATCGTTAACTCTGTCATCATAATGAAAATAGTTCAGACACATTGATATCAATGATTGTTAGAAAGCTTCATGTAAACATGATTAATTTCGGTCACTCGATGCTATTCAACTTAAATTGTACTAAAATGCTCAAGATAACTATAAGCATACGATAATTTATCAGTTCACCAAAGATTTGAGTTATGCTGAAGAAAGGGGATTTGAATTAAGAATCAACTTTTCTTTAATGTATGAAAGTATCTTTATAAATTATAGAACCAAAAATAATAAAAGGTTGCTAGAAACTCTGAAAACAATCACGGAAATGACCACTCTGAAAACAATCACGGAAATGACCTCTCTTCTATTTGGGGTGGAGATAAGGCCTATGTACATCCTACTCTCTGCGGACCCTACTTTGCATGGAATTTAATGGATCCGTTTAGTTTAGTTTGAACTCTGAAAACAATAAGGAAGAAGTATATGGTGCATTTCAAAACAAGCACACTACAGATACCCTTCAGAAAACAGAACCTCCGTATTCATTACTGTATACAACTTCAATAATTGTATACTCTCACAGATGCGTGAAACTGTTCATGTCGTGTTCTATGGAGATAAGTGTATTTATAAGAAGTCAAGTGTTTGAAAGTGCTATTGTGGGTGGACCTGTTGAAGGTGGTGTATATCTGTGTGCATGGTGCTGGGGTTCTATGGTTGAATGAGAAAGATGGGGGCATCACACCCCTCATAGAGCAGAAGTATTTATGCAAAGTAAGGTGTTTTGTGGGCTTTGAGGGGGAGAGGGGACAAATAGTCACCATACCCGTAGTAACGGTCTTTGATATTCTGCTGTGATAACTCGCCAGTGACGGGCATCTCATGCCGGTAAGGGCATTCAGCACCTCTTGTACATTCACCTCTGATGAAAAAACTGCAAATATGTGCTCGGTTTCTCTTGTAATATGGTGTTGTCCTTTGCAGTTTCAATATAGTATCATTTGGCCGTGCCTTCCCATATGAGGATTCATAATCCAGACCAGCTCTTGCCTACAGCAAAAACAAAACAATTATAAGAAGAAGAAAAATGCAATGGTTTCAACACTTGTAGTTAATAGCATTTCACAAACTCAACAAGCAGGTATACTTGCAAAAAGTCTAAAGCACGAGGGTGATGGCTTCAAACCAAATAATATAGCATGTTTTAATCAGCTCAGAATTAAAAAAGATGTACCATTGCAAAAGAAAAATAAACAAATATGTTTTGTGCCATCTCTGTCCCAAAAATATGTTGCAATGATTAAAATGTTACTTAATAAAAAAACAAACAAAGAGAGCCAGACCAGAAATCCAGAAGTAACTAAATTCAAGAAATGATTGGCCAAAAAAGTAAATTAAGATTGAAAACCAAACATAAAACGTTGCATCCTTTTGGGACAGCAGAAGTATGTAGAACATGTGTTAAATCAATTGTAACTATAGAATGGAAAGTAACTTACTCTACGATCATGCTCCTCTGCAAAGTATTCCCTGTTCACATCACTCTTTGGAATGGCATCATTCGAGTTGATACTGAGCGCAGTATCACGAACCTGAACTGGCAAGCCATATTCAAGATCGAGAAGGCACACTTGGCAAACGTTTTTCAACTTGCTGCAAGTTTGGCAAATTTCACTTTTCTTGTATCTTGCATCCCGACCAGGTCTCCACCTGAAGACTGTGAAGGGCCTAGTGCAGATCTTGCACTCCTTATCATAATTTGCTTTTGTCTGCACGTATTCCGATGTTGGTTAATAGCTTGTATTGAAACCAAATGAACCTCATTAAGCATAAATGTACCAATTTTGCCCAGAAGTCAAATGCTATACTGGAAAAGGAAAGATAAAAAGAAAGGCAAACCAACGTATCAAATTTTAATAAATTCATAACATAAAAGTCATAAACTAAATGTGCAAGGAGCCAATGTTTACAGATCTGGAACTGGTCGAGGTAGGCTAAAACTATAACCAGAAAACGAGTCAAGAGGTAAACCACTATCCAGGGCTCCAGAAAAGAGAATCCTTAGCAGAAGAGTTGAATTGTGCATATATTTAATACAAAAATATGTGATTGAAAAGGAGAGGAAGTTTTCCCCGCCTTGTCTGATATGATGTTGCCAAACTAAACCAAACCAACCAAGCCCAGTATATCGAAGGTGGGGTTGGCAGAGGATGGGATGTATGCAGACCTGACCACTATCCCTAAAAAAGTAAGGCCGTTTTTTTTCCATTAAGACCCTCGACTTGTGAAGTGTGTGAAAAAAAAATAGTTTGCAACCCAAAAATATACAAGAAAAGTGAGCAAGAAGCAAGCAACCACATACAAACAAAAGTGGGTACAAGAAAACCTCAAGGTAAGAAAAACCACACCCCTTAAACCCACATAAGACTCTAACAACCTAACTGCCGGCTCACTAACCCTAACCCCGTCTAGTTCTCCAACTCCCATCTATGCTAGCTACAGATCCCACCCATATTATGCTACCCTAATACTGTGTCTCCAATAATTCATATCAAATAAGATGTTCCAAGTTATATGTAAGTCATCCCATGAGCTACTACATGTATGCCAAGTCAAAGTGTTTAATACAAAAGTACTAATTGAAAAGAAGTAAAAGTTTTCCATGCCTTGTCAGATATGATGTTGCCGGTTTATACGTAATTCATCCTATGAGCTACTACTTATATGCCAAATCAAAGTCCAACTTGGGGACCAGAAATGAAAAAAGAAAAAGAAAAAAAAAGAATGAGAAATATACACCTTAAATTACAAATACGAGCCTTAGGAGATTACCATTCGAATGTAGGGATTGTCACCTAGGCATGACTCGCAAATGATTGGGAAGTCGGAGCGTTCCCAACCATCGGCTTCAACATCTCTTAATATCCTATGTGCCATGAGTACTGCAAAATGAAAGAACCAGTTTCATTACAATCGTAAAAACAGTTGGATATACGCAATGAAGTAAAATGGCAAAAGCATGAAGCTTAGGTGTGGAAGGGAAAAAACACTTCCCCACACAGACAGCCAGATTGAAACAGATCAAAAATAGTTGCTCAAACTTTTCGATTAAATACGAGGATATGGCAGGTTACCAAATGATAAACACCTGAACAAGGTCCCCTAAGTTCTAAACATTGAAATACTATCAAAAACGCATTGGCTAATATACTTGGATCCTTCCTCAAGATACAACACCTTAAGGACTAAAGAAATTACAGATGGAACAAGTCCGCAACTGCTTAACAACAACTAAACCACGAAATCTCACAAATTCCCTAAAATCAGACCGTAGTCTCTTAAGAACAATCTTCAATTAGAAATATTAGGGTTTCTTAGAAACTGTAGAATATTAGGGTTTCTTAGAAACTGTAGAATTTTATGGAAATCATACTAAAGAGACCACTACCATCACAGATTTACGAGAGTATCACCAAAGCATCAACCAAAGAGCTAACCCTGATCTAATTTCACAGCTTATTACCAAATCCAACAAAAATTTAGACCTCGAACTGAACCATCCTTGTTCTTTACATCAACACCTTCAAATACTACAAAATGTAGAGATAAAGAAAGCGATTACCTGGTTCTCACTTGGACCAGACCGATGTAGATGAAAAGCGAGGGATGCAAAAATCGACCGCCACCTTAGATCAGAAAGATAGGGTTCTTGGACTTCCTTTGCTGGATCGATTTGACGGAGGGGGAAGATCACCCTGGAATCCGTATCCGCTTGATTAAAGTTGTGTTCCATATATACGCCAAACCTATTTTAATAGAGTGAATCATACACCATTGGTCCCTGTATTTTGACTGGTTTCCACTTTCGGTCCCTAAAGTTTATTAATTACACCAATGGTTTTTTTCTAATTCCTCGAGTTAACACCATTAACGAAATCAACATAAAATCAGTCATTTGTCCCTCACGTGAGAAGAATTTTCATCCTTTTACACGTCTTAAAATCACCACCCACACGGCCACACGATTGACCATAGGGGCGGACTCACATTAGAAAAGGTATGGGAAAGACCCCTCGATCATTTTTACAGTTCTCCCTAGTGACACGATCCATTTTAACGAAACCCCCCACTCGCCCACTTAACGATCGTTATCCTCGTATATTGTTACCGCTAGTTCTTGTAATTATGCTGCAATGATAATTTATAACATTGATCAATGGTTTCGTTAAATATATCTCAAAATTTTTGCTCTTTCAATTTAAATATAAATAAGTCACTAACGTTAATTTTATATGGGCTCAGACCAATTCATCTGGAAGAAAAATATATAAAATAACTAATGGTATATTATTCGGTTAACCGTTATGATAAAAAAAAATAGTCGAAATCGAAACTTACCTTATTTGGTTAACCAAACCGTTTAATTCGCAAACCAGATAACCCGAAACTATTTTTATATTCCTAAATTTTTGGATTCGTCATTGATTAAACACCACCACTACTTCACACCATTGTCGACCACCACTAACCTCATAAGAATAGATGTAGATGAGCATACACAAGATCAATAACACGCCCAAGAATCTAACGGGCTTTTTACCAAACATTTACCTGGTAAGAACGACACAAGGACCATGAGTCTTACCCGGTAAGTGAGGCGACGACTCTTACCACGACAAGTGCTTACTGGGTAAATTTTTGCATATAATGTAGTTTTGATGGACTAAAATCTTACCCAGTAAGTAACTAATAGTGTTAAATTTTACTAATAAGCACTTACCACGATAAGTGCTTACTGGATGAATTTAGATGAGCTCAAACTTTAACTCCAATTAATAATACATATTGACGGATCAACAACGCTAAAGATTCGTTAGCCAACACTTGTCCGGTAAGCTCTTACTGGTTAGAGTCGACATTTTCACTTAACTTATTGGGTAAGATAGTTTAAATGAAAAAGCTGTTACAATAACTGATTAAACAATAACATAATTAGTTACTATAACTAATCAGTTTACAAATAAGAAAAACATGTATTTAACCGTATGGTTATTTAGTTAACTGAATCATTAAATGCGGGAACCAAACAACCCGATAAGCTTCGGGTGTATTATATGATTTCAGATATTTTTGATACCTTTAAATGTGCCTCTAGTCAGCCGAGTTTAAAGATTAGCCACTGCCCCAAACGACATGTTGGAATTGCCAATCACTTAAAAAATCTTTATATTTAGCATCGATTTGTTCGGTACTTTCCCTCATATAATATCTTTTATACTATATTATGAAATATTTGACAAAAACTCTTAAAAATCATTTTTTATGCATGAAGTATTGTTTATTAATGCATATTACTTAAATTACAAGTAAATTGTGCGTAAGTACAACTTATTAAAGCTTCATTTTTGAATTCGTATAACTAACTGCAGATAAACAAAATCAAATACATGATAAACATATCATTTTAAATATAATTAGGATAATCACATAATCATTATCTTTATAATAATTATATTTTTATACCAAAAAATAAATTATTTTGGTATTAGACCTAAATTAAATTATAATAAAAAACTGAATTAAAGAAGTTATACAAAAAACGAGAACTTTTAAATAGTTAATTTGATATTAATATTGATATATATTTTTAACATTTTATGATATTTTCAAATTTATTTTTATTCAAAAGTAAAAACATTATCTTTCTCAAAACCACATAAACCGTATTATATCAACAAAGACAAAAAATAAAACAAAACATCAAAATGGAAATGTATTTTGATGCATTACGTGAAAACCCTTCTAGTATTATATTATAAAGCATTTGACAAAAATTCTTAAAAACCATTTTTTTATGCATGAAGTACTGTTTATTAATGCATATTACTTAAAATTCAAGATTACAAATAAATTGTGCGTAAATACAACTTATTAAAGCTTCATGTTTGAATTCGTGTAACTAACTACAGATAAACATAGTAAATACAAGATAAACATTTTAATTTTAAATATAAAAATCTAAAATATAATTAGAATAATTATTAAGTTCTAACAGATTACTTAATTATTATTATTATAAAAACTTTATTAAATCAAAAATAAATTATTCGTTATTAAATCTAAATTAAATTATAATAAAAAATTAAATTAAAGAAACTACACAAACTTTTAAATGATTAATTTGATATAATATTAATATATTTAGTTTCAAAATTTTATGATATTTTCAAATTTATATTTGATTCAAAAATAAAATCATTTTTTTCTTCTCAAAACCACATAAAAACCGTATTAAAACATCTACAAAGACGGAATAAAATGAAACATTAAAATCGAGATATATTTCGCTGCATTACACGAGTACCCTTCTAGTGATTACTAAGCGAGCTTCGGAATGCCGTCAACAAACCCCTAATAACGTTGTTTATACAGAGCATGTTAAGACGTTATCAACTTACAACCGTCGCGACAACACTTAACAGGATCCTTTCACATCGCATCGTCTAAAGCCCAAACGACGCCCCCAACAAGGTACTTGACTACTACGACTACCGCCACGACTACCGCCAGAACAACGACGATGACGGAAAAAGGAAGGCAAAGATAAGTAAGGATTGTTCATATTAGGCTCAAACATAAGCAAATACATGGTAAAAATTAATCCTGTACACACGAAAGAAATGCCCAAAAGTAACTACTGCAAAAATTAATTCCCTACAACGTCTGGCTGAGCAGCGACCCTGGCCGACGATTTAGCGTAAATGGTGCTCATGGGAGCGTCCTCCGATACCAAGTCAGCCTCCTCCCCGATATGAGCCACATAGAAATCAATCTCCGCCTGGGGGTCCCACAACGAGGATTTGCCGTCAAGGAACTCCCTCATCAGCTTCGCCCTGGCCCGAAGACCGGCAGAGGATGCCGCGTCCTTGCGCTCCTCCAGTATCTCCTCAGACTTCCGCCTCATCTTCTCCGTCATTTCCCGAAGCTGAGCGTCCGCAGTCATCAAAAGGGCTTCACGAGCCTTCCGAGCTTCGATGGCTGCCGCTGCCCGCGCCTCTGCCGCTGCCGTGGCCTCTTTCAAGGACTGGATCTCTGCTGCGGCCTCCCTCAGCTGGGATGACATCCTCGCTTCTGCAGCTTCAGCCTCGGCCAGCCTTACGCGCCACACATCCTGCTGCCCATGTTGGGCCAGTAGTCGACGTCTGGACGTTAGTGCCGCTTGCAGAGTCTGCAACCAGACAAACCCAACATCAAACATATATATATATACACACACACACACACGTGATCATAAAAGCGTAAAACATATGCCAATTACCTGGAGAGTCATCTCGGTGATATCGTCAACTAACTCAAGGTCGCTCTTCTTCTCCAGTAAATGCATGGGACCAGGAAACAGCAATGTGTCGGCATCAGGCCAAAGCGTGGTGACTCCGGACTTCTGCAGTAGAAAGTCCCGAGGAAATGATGTAACGAACCGTGTCAAGGGTGTTTCCTCCGAAGATTCCATAGTCCCCCCTACAGCAGCCGACCCCACTTGGGTAGCCGCGGCCATCCCTATGGGTACGTGAGGAGTAGCCACATCGGGCGACAGCATCACCGCCAGACCAGGCAATGAGGCGGGCGGCACAATAGTACTACCAAACACAGTGGAGGTTGAGGACCCCTTCTTCCTCTTCATCACTCTCTCCCTCATCTCTCGAGGAGACATCGCCTCTAGCGGGTCCGACGATCGCTTCGCACTTCCTATGAAATCACATCTAAACATCAAGAACAATTTCAAAAGACGAAGAGGTCGACTCATGAACTTACCCGACAGCATGGTTTGCATTTCCACTCGTTCCCCGCTGACGGATGGCTTCGGAAGGTCCTCTGGCACACCTTCGCTCGCTTTCACAGACGCGTTGATACCATCACCACAATGCCCAACAGGCAATCCGAAAGAACTGTCCTTCCTCTGTATCCTCGGGACTTCTTCGGTCCGCTCTGACAAATTGATGTTGGGACCACCCAGGTCATCTGGGTAAGTACCTGCAAGAAGAGTGCATGAGACAGTCAATTTTAGGCACCAAAACAGAAAAAAGGATACCCAGAATCGGCCAAAACTGAACCGCCAGTTCTGTTCTCACCGGACCCACTGACCGCACTCCGTTCTTGGAATGCGATCACACCCGTCCTCTCAGGATCCGTAGAGGCATAAAAGGGCCTGCGAAGCTGAGGCGATGTTGGCGGAATGTTAACATAATGTATCCGCGGAGGTGGTTGTTGATCCTGACTAGCGGCAGTTCCTGGCGGCTGAATCATCTGCTTTTGCTGCTGTGATATAACAGCCTTGGGTAAATAGCCGTTGTGGGCAATTGACTTCTGTCTTTCTTCATTCGAGACTACTTCGCTCTCAGCCTTTGGTATTTTTAATCGACCCCACATTAGTTTTAGCCGAAGCCCTTTAATCTCCAGATTATTTGAGAGTTTGTTAACTGCTTTTTCTGCCCCTTTTCGAGTAGTATAAGTAACAAAGGCACAAGCACGTTGGGGAACCATCACAACAGATTCAAGTTCACCATAGGCGTAGAAATGGTCCCTAAGATCTTGCTCTGAGACTCTCCCATAAATCCCTCCCACATACAGGGTTCGAATGCTCTCGTCCTCCGGGGGTTTTAGAGATGGCATGTCACCCGTGTTGTTAGGTAGTTTCAATGCAACTGCTTCGTAAACTCTGTGATCATAATGAAAAAAAGTTACATACATATACTAGTACACAAACA